CTGAACCAGGAAGGAGGAGGAAAGCAAAGGAGGACAACAGAAATAAAAGTGGGGCAACTTTTTGAGGAGGAGAGACATGCAAGGAATTGTGGCCAATATCCCTGTTTGTTTTCCTACAGAATTAATTGAACCAGACAGCTGAGTGTAAGGGGCACAGAAAAGGCTGAGGCTAGGTGGAGTGAGACAGCTCCAACCAGACCAGCGGGGTCTGAATTGTCCAGTACCCATGAGATTCCTAGACTCCATCCCAAATCTACAGCATCAGAGTCCCTGAGAGCAGGTGATTCTAGTGCATGATAAAATCTGGAACCTTTAAAACAAAAGGTCAACCAGTGACCTGGAGCCATTGCTGAGGCTGTATCTTGGTGAGCTGCAAAGAATCAGTCAGTACCTCTGTGTGATTTTCCTTCGCATTGTTCAGCAGTCTGGGGAGAAAATCCTCAAGAAAAATAGACGGCTAGGTGCCCGAAACTCCTGCCATAAATCTCTAGTCCCCACCTGCCCAGTGCGTGACGCAAGGTTGAAGAAAAGCTTAAAACCAAGTTAAAGAGAAAGTGTGAACTGGGATGGCCAATGCTCCTTTGGCTCCTTTGTAAAATTATTCATCAATCAGGGCAAAGGTGCACATATAGATGTGCAGTACGTGAAATTACCATGGAAACTAATGCAGCCAAGGCTTTAAAGAGAAGTCAAAGTATTTTCAAATTAGAAGCAAGATAGATAAACTATATGGTTGTGATTAGAGCATTGTCCTTCAAGCTATGAAGACACTGATTGCAGGAATGGAATTTGGGTGTGATCACTCTGACCTCAGCTACAGATGTTATCTCGTATCAGCCCCACAGCTTCATAGACCATTACTCTGACCTCGGCTGTGGCCCTTAGTGGGGAGGTCATGTTAACCTGAGCGCTCATGCATCGCTCCTTGGCTCATTGGATACTTCAGTGTGTCACGTAGCTTCGGTCAGACTCGCTTCTTAAAGTAAGCCAATCGAGGGATTTAACTCTTTGCAGCCTGCACTGCCTACAGCATATGTTGGGCATAATCAATGTTGCGGGCTCTGGCAGCTGGGCATATCCAGAACTGGGGTTGGGCACTGTAGGTAGTGGAGGCGAGTCAGGGGTCAGTGGAGCCCAAGATGCAGGTAAGGGCATCATTAACTTGGAATCATATGGTAAGAACCAGGAGGGGAGGCATGGAGGGACTGGGGTGAAGAGGAAAATGGGAACCAGATTTGGGAAGGTTGGTGAGTGGGAGAAATATAAGGACTAGATATCTTAACCAGTGAAATGAATTTTGGTGAGAAAGGTTCCAAAAGAGGAACAGTCCTCTTTGGTGATGGTGACACAGTCCCAGTGATAGCTGGACAAAGGGCCTTCTGAGCTACAGTGGAGGTGAAGTTGGCCAAAGCAGGAGAGGTCTGGAAGTGAGGGCAAAGTGTGAGACTGTCAGACTTTTAAACACTTGGGGGTTGCGTGAGTGGGAAAAACCAGGAAGCAGAGAAGACAGTGTTGAATCAGGGAGGGAAGGGGTGAGGCCCGGGCTAAGATCTTGGGCGGGCCCTAGAGGCTGAGCATGGCGCTCTGTCCAGGGCACACAACTGTAGAACTGCTGGATTGGGGCACATGGAGTGGCCTCTCCAATGTCTGCATGGTAATAGCAGGGATTTGGGTTCAGTACCTTGCATATAGCTGTATTTTACTGAATGGGGTATTCATTTGGGGGCCTTTGTCAGTTAGACTATGAATTCTTTGACAGAGGGATCTATCTATCTTTGAATCCCCAGTCTTAATGCTATGTTTGAGGGGTGGTAGGGTACTGGGGATCTTTTACGTGTTTAGGGAGGTGGAAATCTGTGGAATTCAATAATCTATAGTCTAAGTCTTAGCAATGGGAGAGGTTGGGCCACACCTAGGGAGATAATGGTCTATTCCTATGGAAAATCCCCAAAGGGTGGTCCCTTCTTGGGTGAAAGAGGAACACTTGCAAGTAAAAGGGAACCTGCAGACCCCTTTGCAACAGAAAGGAGTTCCCAGGTTTGCTGTTTGGGGAGAAGGAAGAAAAGGTAAATAAACCAGGCTTGTGTTTTCTGTTTTTGTTTTGGGGATTGTTTTGTTTTGTTTTGTTGAGACGGTGTCTTCCTATATAGTTCAGGCTGTCCTTGAACTCACTATGCAGCCCATGCTGGCCTTGAACTTGTGACGATCCTCCCACCTCAGCCTCCCAAGTGCTGGGGTCACAGGTATGTGCCACCACACCCGCCCAGGCTTAGGTTCTGAAGCTGCAGTTTTTCTTTAAAGGGCAGTTTTTTAAATCTCAATTTCCTTGTGTCCTTTCTACCTACATTTATTCCATCTATCCTACCTCAGATACATGAATGAAAGTAAGGTATCTACCCCAGGCTTCCAATAGGAATTTAGAGCAAGAGTGTTTCTACAAAGGTGGAGGAAGGTGTCACTTACCCCTCAGCCTCACAGGCTTGTGGGTGTTTTGTTGGTGGTTGTGGGGAGTGGGAGTGAGATACATTTGAGGAGAACTTGTGCAGAGAAAAGCATGACTGTCACCTGAAGGTAGAATAAAAGAAATAATAGATTTCATCCTCCCCCACCCTAGTGTGAAGCTCAGTCTCTGCTTTCTTCAAACCTCCCTATGGAGCTTTATCTGTGCAGTACCTGGCTTCAGTTCTCCCCTCTGTAGGCTCACAGGCATTCCCACTGCATCTGGACCCACAGTGCTTCCTGCTTTGCATCTCTCAGAAGCACTGAGGCTCAACTTTTCACATAGAATGAATGAACCTCCATTGCCAGCTTGATGCTCTCTCCCAGGGCTCAGTGCCACCCTCCCCAGCAAGCCAGGGATCTGCCAACTAGCCCCGGAGAGTCCTTTGTCCTCATTGTTCATGTCCAATTCACCAAGTCCTTCCAATCTGAGGACATAAAAAATTCATGAACCCTCAGGGTCCCTTTAACATCCCCCCCCCCAGCTAAAATGATCTTTTCCAAACTCAAAGGCCCAATGATGTCATGCTCCTCCTTAATCCATGCCAGGACTCATTATGCTTTTAGCTCTACTCACAATTTACAAGGCCCAGTGTGCTCTGACCACCGCCCACAGCCCTGGGCTCATTCTGCACACCTCTGCCCTCCACTTCCCTGGGGGCCAACTGCATATCAGTAGAGCCTTCATTTTTGCTGTATACTGTGCAGTCCCCACCCCACCACCCTCAAAGTCTTGGTACATGTACTTCCTTCCCCATTTCAGGTGATTAACCCCTTTGCATCTTTCTGATCTCAGCTCAGACCTGATTTCTGTGGTGACACCATCAGGTGAGATTCCAGCAAAGTGAGATTCCTTTGGAATGTTTGCTCATAGAAATTTGGCCTCCATCTGTGTATGTGTGCAGCATACATTTCAGTTGTGATTGTGTATAGTGCCTGTGTGATGATTTTCCTTATGTTTGTCTCCCTCATTTGCTTCCGGCTTATGAAGGACAAGAATCCTGTGTGCTTTTCCTCAGTACTGGGTGCTTTGTACCCAGTGATTATGCCATAAATACTTGTCAGATGAGTGACTGAAGAGAGCAGAGAACACCCTTGTGTATTCCTAGTTGAAGTCACAGTAATAAGGTCCTGTTTCTCAGGTCTATCCACCAGGACGTGGTCATACATAAGTAGCTCTGGGACAATGGTAACTGTGATACTTTAACAGGAGTGAAAGGCCCAATGCTGAATTCTATCCTGGTGCTGCAAAGTTAACACTTTTAGGTCTAAATTTTAAATTTCACGTATAGATCAGGTGCTTTACTCTGCCTGAGGGCTCCCCCCAGCTGTGTTCCTCAAGTCTTCCCCCCTCTCCTGCCTGTTACCTGCACAGCTGGTATGGACTGAGAGCTTCCTGGACCAGAAGAGGAGGGCAGGCAATAGAGCTGGCTCTTCTGGGGCAGGGATGGGAGACTGGGAGATGGGAAGGGAGGAGCACATGATGTGGGTGGCATTTCTGTGGGGCTGCCTTGGTATTCAGAAACTACTGCTGGCTTCTCTTTCTCCAGACAAACTAGCTTTGGAAAACAAAGTTTGAATACTTGGCAGGGTGAGAAACTAGTCGCACACACAGCTCACTACCTGCAAGGATGTTCATTCATGGGACTTAAATGGTAGAACCCAGGAGCTGGGTTAGGCAGGTTCTCTCCTTTCTTGTTTGACTGAGATGATATACACTCAGATTGTTCTGCTGGCGCAGGGAGCTGCATGCAGTATAGAATCTCTGTTTATTTTCTCTGTGTTTTGCTTAACAATTTCATGGTAAAGTAAGGGGAATATCTTGGAATGCTTCTTCAGAGGAATCTCAAGAAGTTGCTTGCCCTTCTTCTGATTCTTGGGGCCTAAGCCATCTGTTCCCCCTCAGCTGATAGGATTCAGCTTCAATTGCAGTGGTGGTGTCCCCATCCTGTCCCACATACATGGGGTGGGGAGCTTGTAGTGGTGTCTCTAGGTGTCGATTTCTCCATCTCCAGGATGGCCACTACATTTCTTATCAACCTGGGAGTGGTGTCATTAAATCACTGAAATAATACTGAAAGAAAAAGTGAGGGATTAATCTGATAAGAAAGTGAACCTCCCTGGTGCACGCCTGTAATCCCAGCAATCGGGAGGCTGAGGCAGGAGAATCACCACAAATTCAAAGCCAGCCCAGGCTACATAAGGAAACCCTCTCTCAAAAATGCAAACAAAAAGAAAGGGAACCTAGTTTTTCTCTTTTTTTCCTCTAGTTTGGATGAAAGCCTCCTTTAGGAAAGAGTGTTTACACTAGACGTACCTATACCTGATTTGCCAATTCCAAATTACACCCCAACCACCCACTTCTGAATAGTAAAAAAAAAAAGAAGCCTGCAATTGTGTAACATGTAAATCTCTCCTGGACCAGGGCCCGCCGTCACTGTGGTTTGGCAACACAACCAACACATGCCTTTTTTCATTTGCTGAAGAGAAAAAATGAAAACCAAGAAAGAAAAAATACCTGGAGAATAAAGGTAATGATTAATCTATCGGGCATGAAAAGGACCATTTTGAGGATTGCAGGTTAGAACTCACTAATCCAAGTAAATTGCAGTGAACAGGGAACAGAGGTTTCACTAGAAGAATATTAAGTCACGGCTTTTAATTGGACAGCGTTTGTACACTCAGAGAAGTCTCGCCAGGCATCTCCAGGAATCCCCGCCGAGCTGCCTACTGGCTTCCGTTTTCGTATGCCCGAGGTGAGCGGCTGGTGGGATATTATCGGAGGAGACCCAAGATGCAGGCTGAGAAGGGAGAAACACGCAAGAGCTTCAAGCACAGGCTGGCCTTGAAGAGCAGCTTAGCCAGAGAGACGGTGTCTGAGTTCCTGGGCACACTTATAATGATCGTAAGTATTTCCTGCTTTTCTAAGTTCTGACCCAGTTATGCCTCCTCACTGCCAAGCTGATGGTGAGCAGTGCTGTTGTGGTTTGTTTTCTTTGAATTAGTTGTCAGATTCATCTCTTCCTGGAAGCAACAAGTTACTACCAGGCTGCTTGGCTATTTAGTGGCCATACATAGTACTAGGTTTTTCTATTTCCTCGCTGCTTTTATCCAGGACAGTTGGAAATGGAAGAGGAGGAGTGAAGTGCTTTTTTCATTTCAGGAATTGACTTCCTCGGAATCTCAAAGGTTTGGGGATGGAAAAGTTAGTTGCTGAAAATTTTTTCTCATTGAATAATTCATTTGTACCCTGCTTGCTTCCCATAAACATTGAGGTGGCTCAGTCGTCTAGAAAAAATATTGACAATCAATAAATATGGACTGCAAAAGCAGTCCACCATGAGAAGTGCTTGGTAAAGATTGTTTTGTCAGATCGCTTGACTTTTAAATCAATTGGAAACTGAGCCACGTACAAATTGCGGATCCACACTACTCTGGCTTTGGTTTTGTATCATTTTTCCCCTTTAACTTATGCAAATCTGTAGAGATCCTTAAATAGACAGTTACAAGAACCTGTAGATAAAAGTGAGGGGCTCATTCTAAGAATATCCTGAGGGTTTGTCCAGAGATTTGCTCAGCCATGAACAACAGGCTGGAAAGTTTGCTTCATTGGTTTGGGTTCTGGGTTCTCATCCACTGCAATGTCGGAGCCTTCTCTGGATCCTGAAGTTTTAGCTGCACTCAGACTATTTGTGAATAGAAAACTATTGTCACTTGGAAACTATTGATATTAACTTAAAAAAAAACACTCAAAGATTCCCTACTCCAGGTATGAGTAATTTCATTTTTCATAAGATTTGAGACAATTGCCCATGTTTCACACATTAAAATTCTTTGCTTTGAGTAAATATATAATAAAGTAGAAGAATAAGCTTAGAATGCATCAGTTAAGCCAAGATTGAGAAATGAATCTGAACTCAAAAAACTGAACTAAAGTAACAAGAGGAGAGTCATACCTTTTCTGATCTCGGACTCTTCCTGCTCCTGCCACTCAAGTACTGGGGGAGAGTTTTAGACAATTTCTAACATTCCTCCCTTTCCCCTGGCAAAGTGCTGGCTACACTGACCATACTCAGTCTTGGACTTTAGGGATGGGGAGTTAGAGAGACAAGAGGAAATACAAAAGGGTGATTCCTCTGATTCCAGTTCACTGCTTACTGGAAAATTTCTCTCGACAAGGCTCTTGTATTATGATATTTGACAATCTGGCCTCCAAAAAGAGAGTTGTCACCACAGACTGATCTCAGCTCTGTGACTTGTGGTACAGAAAAATGAAGCAAATTCAATCACATTTCGGCAGAAAACAAAGAGGAGGAAGTGAACTGAACATCCTTTTATTTTCGCAACTGGCAAAGTTAAAACCCTCCTGTTTCTTAATAAGAATATTTCATAATCCCCTTCTTTTTAAATTGATAAGGCAAATGTGGCTTTCAAATATTCCACTCAAGCAACCAGTAGCATGTCTTTCCCAGTATGATTTGATGATACACATTTTTTGGTTTTGGCCCATGGTTCCTGTCTTGTGACTTCATCCCCAAGACAGGCCATAGGAAGTAGAATTCCCTTCAAGGCAGCTCATAGGAACTCTTATCATTCTGCACCTTTCTGTCTTCAAACTGGCCTTATAGGAATTCTTTAACCTACCTTGCCAGAGTATGTCTTGCTGAGAGTGATTGTACAGTGAGCAGTGAGCTAGAATCAGAGACACCAAGGGTTTTTATTTTCTCTCTTCTCCTTCTAACTCTCCCTCCTGAAACTCTGAAAGTGAGTAGGTCATTAGACCCCTTTTCAGAAGATGTTTTTTCCCATCCCCTGGAGGACGTACTGCCACCCAGGGGGGCTGGGAAGAATCTGAACAGACCAGCCTTGCTGGGTTTCCCCACCCAGTCAGTTTATTTGTTTTTGGTGCTGGGGATGGGACACAGGACACTGGGTGTGCTATGAGCATCCTCTACAACTAAGCTGTACCTTCAGCCACCCCTCAGTCTTTAGGTATTAGATAAAACTTAGTCGTACAGGCTTCAATCCTGTCTATGCAATGAAGTCTGTGTCTAAACCCAAAGGACAGCTGCATGTGTGCAGGGTCCTGGAAGGCAGGCGGTATGCCTACAGGACATGGAGCCCTCCCACTCCTAAAACACACACACACACATACACACACACACACCTACCTGTACATCCTTCATCTATATCCTTCATTAAAAAGGCTATAAATCTAAGGAAGTATTTTTTGAGTTCTGTGAGCCACACAAGCAAGTTCATCCAACACAAGAGGAGGCTGTGGGAACCCCGAATCATAGCTGGTGTGTCAGTACAGGTAAGACAGCCTGTGGCTGACAGTTGGATCTGAAGTTGGAGGACAGTCTTAGGACAGAGCCCTCAACCTAGGGGATCTGACACTGTCTCCAGGTAGAAGTTGTCCTGATGTACTTGATCTGGTGGGACATCTAGCTGGTGTGCACTGCAGAGTGGATAATGTGTTTGCTGGTAAGAGAAACCCCACATCTGGGGTCACAGAAGACTTCATGTTGATACTTCTAATGTGAGAGTGAGAGTAAAGTTCGTTTTCCTATACACAACCGGTGTTCAAGGTGGGTTCTAAAGATTCAAAGCTTAATACTGTATGTTGAAAAATTGAACTTTGTATCTTCTGGCCAAAGTACGTGGCAAGTGGATTAATTCCTATTTACATTGTGTATTTATGCAGTTATTTTCTAAGATCGACTCTGATGAAATTTATCATTGTGATTACAATCTTCACTTTTACTGGGGCCTGTGGGGAAATGTAAACAAAGAATCTGTACATGCACAATACTTTTTCAGCCACTCTGCATGGTTTTGCTCAAAGGTTATCCAAATGTATTGCTTCTGACTTATCAGAAAATGTGCATTTTGTATTGCTTTTGTCACTCAAAAGCCTTGCATATCCACCACACCTGGGGAAAAGAAACATTGAAAAGATGGCCAAAGATATGCAAGATGCATTAGTCCTTCAAATTTTTGAGATTCTTTTCTACCCCAACCTGGGAGTCTGAAGTCACTTTTCTCCCCTTCTCAAAATCTGCTCATGGAAGGAACATCTCAGACTCTTTCACACCATGATGTAAATGGCTGATAAGACCTGTCTGTGGTGAATTAGGGAAGAAAAGGCCCAGGAAGAGTTCTTTGCAAACCACAAGGAAAACCAACAGCAATTAAGTTGTAGCTCCAATTGGCTTTTTAGATGTTGGGATAGACAGGCCTTTCACCTGTCCTGGTGTCAGGGAGAAGCCCTGCAATACATGTTCCCTCCCTCAGAGGGAAGGTCAGGATGCATTAAGCTGCAGAGATAGGGAGGGTGTTAAGTACCTTATACGTATTAGACTCAGCCCTTACAACAGTATGCTCGTTGTTATTACCCATCAATGATTGTATTATATTAATTAGTAATAATGAGTACTTAGCTGCTTTATTGTCACCCATAAATAATTGGGAAAAGTGAGGGCTCAAAGAGATAAAGAAACCTAGAAGGCATCAACCTGGATTTCTGTCTAATTCTAGAGCCCGTATTCTCCGCCCCATTCCCATTCCGCTGGGATCCCTGGAGAAGGTTCATGACAAATCGGACTCCCTCACTCCTCTGTTTCCGTAGATGTGTGCAGTCATCCTGGTGCCTCCCTGTGGGTGGACAGGTGTGCAGTCAAGAGGGAAGGGGAGACTGTCGGGGCCCCTGCACCTGGGCCACAGCCCTGGTATCAAACTGCAGAGACTGCCTCAGCCCTGAGACCTCCATGAGGCTGACTGTCCGCCTCTTGCTATGTTCCATGGCTGTATGTTATCTGAACTATCAATTGAGTCTCTTTACATCTCCGTTTCCTCAAATGGAGGTAGCACATCACTGTCATTTTGTGAAATCAAATACATATTACATGTAAAGTTGCTGGCATAGGAAATGTTCCTTAAATGCTACCTCCCTTTCCCCTTCCTGGTGCCTTTCCCTCCTCCACTTCAGGGTCCTAGTATTTGAAAATAGCTGCTTTGTCTTCTCTTGGGCACCTTGAGGTAACTTTCCCCAGCTTGGTACCTATGCAAACGGGGACCCATAAATGTGCAGAGTTAAAAATCTCTCCCCTGGACCCAGGTTCCCATAATCACTAGTCATTTCAAGAGATTTCTTATAGGGGCTATGTTCACTCTTCGTATTCTATGTAACCTCCTCTCTCTCCAATCTTTTCAGGACCCTGATACAGATTTATCTTGTGAAAGTCACTGCAGTGAACCTCAACAGGCTTCCGTATTTCCTCTTGAGATGGAACAGCATCCCTCTGGGGCTGGGCTTATGAGTAGGAAACATCTCATGTAGTGGGGAAGACCCTAAGTCAGTGGTGGCGGAGCTATGGCAAACGTGCCATAGTGGGCTGTTTGTATCATTGAAAGCTCTAAAAGGTTAGCCATCACTGTCCTAAATTCTTTTCTTAGTCTGTCAAGCCTCCACTTTAGAAATCTACCTTATGACATCTGCAACAGTGAAAAAATACAACCCCCTCTGCTGAAAGTAATAGCCTTGATCTGAATCCTGATGGGAAATAGAAGGGAACTCTCTCTAAGCCCAGAACATAGAGTGGGCAGGGAGGCAGGCAGTGCAAAGGGAAGAAGGAAAAGCACAGACAGTCTGTGGTACAAGAAATTCCAGATATGGCGCATCACCAGCTTCCTGCTCCTGCGAGCCTTCAGGTCCTCATGATCAAGGTCTCTCCTTTCTTTGGTCACAGAGCTTCTATTTTGAAGTGTTTCTCAGATACAAGAGCCATAAAAGCTCTAGGGCTAGAATTACTACTACAAAGTGAGTTCAGATTTTAGAATAGGTCCATCCCATATTAGGATGCTTTTGAAAAGAAAGAATGGTTCGTATTTAGAATAACATTG